TTGGTTTCTTTTTCCTTAATTTCCATTATCCTAGGAGATGTATCCATAAACATATTGCTATGAGAGATGTCTGAGATTTTGCTGCCAATGGTTTCCTCTAGGATTTTTATGGTTTCACATCTTACATTTAAGTCTTACCCATTTTGAGTTAATTTTTGTGTATGGTGTAAGTTGGTGGTCTGATTTCACTTTTTTGCATGCATCTGACCAATTTTCCCAACACCATTTATTGAAGAGGCTGTCTTGACTCCATTGTATTCTCTTGTGTCCTTTGTCAAATATTAATTGAGCATAATGGCTTGAGTCAGTTTCTGGTTTCTCTGTTCTGTTCCATTGGTCTACATGCCTGTTCTTGTGCCAGTTTCAGGCTGTTTTGAGTACAGTGGCTTTGTGGTATAAAGGCAACAAATTGGAAAAGAGGAAGTAAAACTTTCACTATTTATAGATGACATAATACTGTACGTTGAAAACCCTAAAGACTCCATCAGAAAACTACTTAGATTTAATAAATGAATTCAGCAGGACGTTCAAAAAAGAGAGAGCGGAAGATATACACAAGTAGAAGAATATGCCATGTTCATGGATTGGTAGAATCAACATCATTAAAATGGCCATAGTACCGAAAACAATCTATAGATTCAATGCAATCCCTATCAAAATACCAAAGGCTTATTTCACAGACCTAGGACAAATATTCTGGAAATTTATATGGAATCAAAAAAGACCCTGAATAGCCACAACAACCTTGAGATAGAAGAACAAAGTTGGTGGGATCACAATACCAGATATCATGTTATACCACAACCATTATTTTGTTGATTTTTATTACATAAGAAACTTTTTTTGCCATTTTAAGGCTATTTCAAATTATGATACATCAATACAATAAAACACTATTTACTTATAAGCAACAATGTATAAAACAGTTTCCAAGGTATATTGTTAAGTAAAAAATGCAAGATGTTTAAGACTATGTAGATAACGTTTCCATTAGTGTAAAAAATTGTGGGTTATATATCTACATATGTTATATAACACATATAAACATACATTGAAATATAGAAACTGACCATGTAGTTACTCAGAAGAAGCATTTAGAAGACTGGAGTTCAGGGTGGAAGAGAGATTTATTTTATACTTTTATTAATGTTTTTACCAGTTGCCTTTTAAAATATTTACATTACTTTTTTGAAGATAAAAACAGTATTTAAATTTCTTTGTGTTTCAAAATTCTAGGACTACCACAGCATACTAAACTAATTAGCATTTATTTTTATGACATTACTATCAGTTGTGTCAAAGAAATTTTGGTGAATAGAAAAGATGTCATGAGTGTTGAGAACAGAATGAAAGGGACTAAGGTTGGAATCAGCGATGCCAATTAGAAGGCTGTTGCAATTATCCAGTTAAGGAGATGGTGGCCTTGTCTTTGGTGGCAGCCATGGAAGTAAGGAAAAATGATGTACACATAGATGTATAAAATTACAGAGGGGTCCTAGCTGGTTTGGCTCAGTGGATAGAACTTCAGCCTGCGGACTGAAGGGTCTCAGGTTCGAATCTAGCCAAGGGCACATACCTGGGTTGCAGGATTTATCCCCAGTGGGGGATGTGCAGGAGGTAACCAATCAATGATTCTCTCTCATCATTGATGTTTCTATCTCTCTTACCCTCTCCCTTCCTCTCTGAAGTCAATAAAGATATATTTTAAAAGTAAAAATAAAAAAATAAAGATAGAAATAAAATCACAGAGGGGTCACATTTTATTGACAACTGAATCTACCAATATATTGTTTTATACAAATAAAAATGTATAATATTAACTATACAAAGTGTATTACCATTTGAATAAAATTATTTCAACAGGTTTTTTGTAGATTTTGTAATTTAGTAAATATGGCAAACAAAGTCACTGAGCACTAGTTAAAAGCATCAGTTTTAAATGCAGACAAATACATACATGCATGGAATCAATCAATCGAGCACTAATATTCCAAACTTGGACAATCACTAATTTGCAAAATACTATTTCTAAAAATAGTGATAAGAAAGTTAGGTTAAAAAGCTAAAACTTAAAATTTTTTAGCTTAGATCCAGAAAATACCAGCAAATTCAGAATTTTAAGATTGATCACCATAATTTGTTGAATGTGACTGCTCCACAATTTATACTACATAAATCACAAAAGCGTAATTTTCTGTTGTTTAAACAATGACTTCCTTGCTGCTTTTAACTGTAGTTTTATAACTCTAAAGAAAGATGCTAACAATTTGCATAGGTGGGTAGAACATATGATTCAAAGTAAAAATAGAAAACACCACTACAATCTTACTTCAAATAATTAGGAACTTGATCTCTCTGTTAGCCAAGAGGCCAAGTCACCCACAGTAACTTTCCTGTAATAACAAAGAGAGTGCATTTCACCTCTTAAATCTGAGCCTAGGCCTGGCTATCTCATGAACTAACAATGCCAAGGTGATTTCTTTGGCTTTCCAAGGTTTTCATTTCCCTAGCTATAGAATTGAAGGAGTTTGGTTAAGGTGGCCGGTAAGAGCCTTTTCCACTAAAAACATATTACATAAATAAGTCAGCTTAAGACTACATGCTTTGGGAAGAAATTTTAGATAGGGTAAGAAGTACATTTTTTAAAAGTAGGTAGACATTTTTTTTCTACCTGTGCAATGCCATCATTCAGAACTCTTCTATACTGTTGTTCAGAAATTTTTTTTCTCATGAAAAGTCAATACTAATGACTGACACTATTAAAAAGTCTAAAAGTGAAGCATCTAACAATAAAAATATTGTCTTAAAATGTTAAAGGGTTTGTGGCATCTTGGTTAAAAAGTGGTATACCACTAGCAATTGAAATAGCAGCCTTTACATTTTGGCATACAATCTTATATTGATTACTAGAGGCCTGGTACACAAAAATTTGTGCACTGGCGGGGGAGAGGGGGTGTCCCTCAGCCCGGCCTGTGCCCTCTCGCAGTCTGGGACCCCTCGGGAGATAACGACCTGCTGGCTTAGGCCCGCTCCCAGGTGGCAGAGGGCAGGTCCAATCCCTAGGTGCAGCCCCTGGTTGGGCTCAGAGCAGGGCCAATTGGGGGGTTGGGGCACTGCCCCTTGGCACACTCAAGGCAGGGTCGATGGGGAGGTTGCGGCGTCACCCCCTGTCATGCACAGAGCAGGGCCCATGGGGTGGTTGGGGCGCCTTCCCCTGTCACACACAGAACAGGGTCAATCAGGGGGTTGGGGAGCTCCCCCCTGACACGCACAGAGCATGGCCCATCAGGGGGTTGGGGAGCTCCCCCCTGTCATGCACAGAGTAGGGCCGATAGGGGATTTGGGGCACCAACCACTGTCACACACAGAGCAGGGTGGATCAGGGGGTCTGGGCACTGCTGCTGTCACACTCAGGGCAGGGTCGATGGGGAGGTTGCGGCTCTACCCTGTCACACACAGAGCAGGGCCCATGGGGTGGTTGGGGCGCCTTCCCCTGTCACACACAGAACAGGGTCAATCAGGGGGTTGGGGAGCTCCCCCCTATTAGGCACAGAGCAGGGCCAATCAGGGGGTTCGGGCACCTTCCCCTGTCATGAACAGAGCAGGGTGGATAGTGAGGTTGAGGCCCCACCCCCGTCACACACAGAGCTGCAGGGCGATCAGGGGGTTTGGGCACTGCTCCTGTCACACTGATCCCGGTGCCGGGAGGCCTCGCGGCTCCTCTAATTCCAGTGCCAGGAGGCCTCGCAGCTCCACAGATCCTGGGTTCTGGAGGCCTCGCGGCTCCGCTGATCCCAGGTTCGGGAGGCCTCGCGCCTCTGCTGATCCTGTGTTCGGGAGGCCTCATGGCTCCGCTGATCCCGGTGCTGGGAGGCATATTACCCTTTCACTATATAGGATACAGGCCTGGTGCATGGGTGGGGGCCAGCTGCTTTGCCCTGAAGGGTGTCCCAGATCAGGATGGGGGTCCCGCTTGGGTGCCTGGCCAGCCTGGATGAGGGGATGATGGCTGTTTGCAGCTGGTCACACCCCCTTCAGGGTGGGGGTCCCCACTGGGGTGCCTGGCCAGCCTGGGTGAGGGGCTGAGGGCCCTTTTCAGGCTGGTGGGCAAGTGAAGCTCCCAACCTCTCCTTTTTTCTTTTTCTTTTTAAATCTGGGATTTATTTACCTTCTATGGCTTTCACTGGAGCTGAGAGCCGGCTCCAGCTTGAGGCCTCGGCTGCTGAAAGCAGGGATCTGGGTTTGTTTAGGTTCTATAATTGTAACATTGTTTCCGTCCTGCTTGATCCAGCTGTGACGGCTGAATGCAGGATTATGGGTTTTTTTTAGCTTCTATAATTGCAACAATGTTTCTTAGAGTGCAGCTCAGAGGCAGGCAAGGCAGGCGGGGAACGTTGGCTTCCTCCATCACGGGAGCAAGCAAGCCTGCTGTTCGCTTCAAGCTGCCTGGCTGCTGGCCACCATCTTAGTTGGCAGTTAATTTGCATATTGCCCTGATTAGCCAATGGGAAAGGTAGCAGAGGTACGGTTAATTACCATGTTTCTCTATTATTAGATAGGATGAGAGGCCCGGTGCATGAAAATTTGTGCACCCTCTCATAGTCCAGGAGTCCTCAGGGGATGTCCTACTGATGGCTCGCGGGAGGAGCGGGCCTAAGCCGCAGTCTGGCCTCCCTCTGCGGGCAGTGATTGGGCCAGCTGATCAGGGGACGGCATCGCCCCCATAACCCTGCTATTGCCACCTGGCTTCCCTCTGTGGGAGGCAACCGAACGGGCGGATCAGGGGATGTTGCCAGCCCCCTCCATTGCCCCTCTGCCGCCACTGGTCGCCACCCCCTCCCCCCATCGCCGTTCCCTCCCTCTGCCCACTGGCACGAACCTTGGCTGGCCTGGCGCCGCCTGCTCACCAGCCCGGTCCCCCATTCACTGGTCATTCCACTGTTTGGTTGATTTGCATATTATGCTTTTTATTATATAGGATATTCATTTCAGGTGTACAATATAGTGATTCGACATTTTTATGTCTTACAATGTGAATATTTCACTAAATTTTAAGAGTTAAGATTTGGGGTAGAGGAAAAAACAACTAAAACATTGCATCATTTAAGCCATTCTGCTAAATGTGTAATAAATGAACACCAATTGCATTTCAAAGAATAAATTCTTTGAAATCCTATCAAGAAAGCAAAATTAATGAAGACTGATTTTCATAGAAGAGATTATTCCTTCCACTAAAGCATTACACAAAAACACATTATCTTGAATGAATTGAAAAAATAAGTCCCATCGTGACTGAAAGTGTTCTATGATCTAGTATGTTTTCTCTATTCCAGTGGTGCATGTACATTCTTCCCTAGGCTAATGGGTTCTTCTTTTCTGTCCTCATCACAAGAACCTCTTCATAACTTTCAGGTGAGTATTCTTCCAGGTTTCTTACAAATCCTACTTGCCTCAAAGTTACAAGAAAGATTACTCCAGACCCATTTGTTTTGGTCATTAGCAAGGACAGCACAATTTTCCTTCTGATGATTATTGGGTTCACCATTATGCCAGAATCTGAAATGAAAAAAAGTATATGTAATACACACACACACACACACACACACACACACACACACACACACACGGTGTGTGTCAGGGGACTATGCAGAAAAAATGACCCTAAATGCCCTTAAGTGAGAAATTTAGAGCTGCCCTGCCCTGCCCAATACAAGTGTAGTAGTAGTTTACTAGTATAAAGGTTACACAACACATGGTGCTGAGTAAGCAGTTTTACACTGGTATGCTCCACCCCAAAATGAATTCTGCTTGCTACCTTCTTCCCATTTTTGCCTATAAAACTCTTTCATCCCAGTCAATATACTCACTCCATATGTGGGTTAAATGGCGTCCTGTTCACCCATTGCCAGAGGCCTTCAGAATTCTCATATGAAAGTCCCAGGAAATATGAAAATCGTCTATCCAAAAATTGAGTAATAAAGTTCTGTATAAAAAAAATTGTAAATTCTTATAAATTTATTTGCACTTATCATGTGGTAGATGATAGGAAAAGAGAAAAGAGGTTGAATAGATTACTACTTAAGCAAAAAGGGTTGGCACCAGATGGATCTGTTTTCATATCCTGCCTCTGCTGTTTACTCTGTACTGTTAGAAAGTGCTTTAGTCTCACCAAACCCTAGTTTTCTTATCTTCAAAAGAGACAACTCCACTACTACACTGAGTTATTTTGAAGATTAACTGAGATCTACTTGACAACTACTTAGCAAATGTTTAATAGGATCAGATTATCAGGAACTTTTGTTTTTAAATTTTCCCTCTTTAATTGTTTGTATATTTTATTAAATCCCATTTTATTCAAAGAGTCTGCCTATAGATTGGAAAGCCATGAAAACAGAATTCTCCAGGAAATCCTTCTGATCAGCAAAAGGGTAGAATGTGACTTATGGTACATATATGGAAATATATTACATAAGAAAATACATTTCAATTTTTACATTAAGATTTTTTTTTTTTAAACTAGAGGCCTGGTGCACAAAATTTGTGCATGGGAGGGGTAGGTATCCCTCAGTCTAGCTGGCACCCTCTCCAATCTGGAACCCCTTGGGGGATGTCCAACTGCCAGTATAGGCCCGATTCCTGTGGCCTAAACAGGGACCAGGCCTAAACCAGCAGTCGGATGTCCCTCTCACAATCTAGGACTGCTGGCTCCCAACTGCTTGCCTGCCTGCCTGCCTGATTGCCCATAACCACTTCTGCCTGCCAGCCTGATCACCCCCTAACCACTCCCCTGCCAGCCTGATCAACGCCTAACTGCTCCCCTGCTGGCCCAATGCCCCTACCTGCCCTTTCCTGCTGGCCCCGTCACCCCCAACTGCCCTCCCCTGCCTGCTTGGTTGCCCCCAACTGCCCTCCCCTGCAGGCCTGGTCTCCCACAACTGCCCTCCTCTGCTGGCCTGGGCACCCCTAACTGCCCTCCCCTGCAGGCCTGGTCGACCCCAACTGCCCTCCCCTGCTGACCTGAATGGCCACAACTGTCCTCCCATGATGGCCACATGGGGGCTGCCATCTTTGACCACATGGGAGCGGCCATCTTGTGCAAGGGTATGATGGTCAATTTGCATATTACTTCTTTATTATATAAGATTATAACCGTACATCTGAATTATTTTTTCTATGCTTTATCCTGTAGCTCTTTTAGTGTCAATTAACCATTCATTTATTTACTTATTATGACAGTTATTAAGACATAGCCAGAGTGCCTAGCACTGTGCAGGACATTAGTGATACAAAGATGAGTAAGGCATGGCCTCAGCCTTCTACAAAGTAGAAATCATTGGAAGAAATGGAGTATTAAACAGACAATTGCAGGACACTAAAGTAAGTGCCATGATCACACAATGCACAAAGTACCATAAAACACCTTTAACTTAGAATAGGGAGGGTTGAGTAGGGAAGATGGTCACGGTAGTTTCCTCTAGGAAATACTACATGAATGACATCTGGAAATATCCAAAGAAGTTGGTCATATTAAGAAAATAATAGAGGACCCATTCAGTGTGGTTCAGTGGTTGAGCATCGACCCATGCACCAAGAAGTCACTGGTTCAATTCTCAGTAAGGGCACATGCCCAGGTTGCAGGCAGGCTCCATGCCTGGTGGGAGCTGTGCAGGAGGCAGTAGATCAATGTTCTCTCTCTCTCTCTCTCTCTCTCTCTCTCTCTCTCTCTCTCTCTCTCTCTCTCATCTTTCTCTCTCTATCCCTTCCTCTTTCTCTAAAAATGAACACACACACACACACACACACACACAGTAAGGGAGGAAGAAAAGGCTTTCCAGGCACATGGAACAGATGAAACAAAGGCACAGAAGCATGGTAGAGCAGACAAAGTCTTCTCTCTCTGCTAAGAGATTCAAAGCAGCAGAGAAACTGACGGGAGCCTCCCAACATACCTGCTCAGCTTCTGTGCTGATGGTGACCAGGTGGGCCCCTAGCCCTGTACAGTTCCTCTCACTCTCCACCCATGTCTTGTTGTCATGAAAAGTAAAATAGCAGCTGGACTGGAAGGCTCTCCAGCCAATAGGACAGCAATTCCAGGTGTCCCCTCATGAGAATATTGAAATAGAAATTAGTTACAAAGGAGCATTCATCTATACCAGATTGCATAACTATTCTACTATCTAGTGTGCAGTTACCATTTATGGGAATAATATCAAGGTTACCAAAATCATTTTGTTTCCCTTTCAAAAAATATTCCTAATTACATTTCAAAATATCTTCTAAACAAGAGTATTAAAATCATGTATTAACAATAAGAAATTTACAACATATTCTCTTAGAAGGGATGATCATTTTTCAATATCCCTGCATCTATTTGCATTTACTTTTAAAGTGTTTTCATAACAAAGCGTTTTACAGGACATTTTATCTAACGGGTGTGAAGAACCTACTAAAACTCTCAAGTGTTTTCCCATTCTTCAAAATGAGAATTTATAAATTCCAGAATAATAAAAGCGATAAAGACGAGAGTCGGAGGAAACAGTCCTTATGATATGTCTGAATCAAAAGATATGGAATTAAATTATACATTCTCCATTTATTTGATGACAGTCATGAGAAATAGTTCTATCTCAATTACTGATATGCATTCTTGTGCCATATTCTCAATCATGTTACTTTAATCTCTCCTGGTTGACTACAAATCTACTCTAAATCCGATTGTGAATTTTAATGGAAGTGGAAATGAGAAAGAAATTCTCTTATGTGTCTCTGCCACCTGTACCTTTCAGGTCTGATTTTTCCTCAATGCATGTCAGCTTGGACATTCCAGTGCTGCTTTTCTTACAGCGTAGAAAGTTGGTGTGGGTCACTGCCAAGGAGAAAAAAGTTCATTTCTTTTCCCTATATAATCACTTAATTTGGGAAATGGGAGCTGACTGCTCTAATCTTTCTCTTATCCTAATAGGGCCCTCACATTCTCTTTTTTTCCCTTTGCAGTTCCTCTGTTGCAGCTCCAAGTGAATTGGTTGAAAGATATTGTTGAAATTAATATTTTTATTATCATACTAGAAGCCTGTTGCATGAATTCATGTATTGCCGGGGGCGGGGGGGGGGGGCGGCGGGTGTCCCTTAGCCCAGCCTATGCTGTCTCGCAATACGGGACCTCTTGGGGGATGCCCGACTGCCAGTTTAGACCCTTCCTTCCCTTGCTGCCAGATGCTGGCCGGGGCCTTCCTTCGTTCCACGCCACCCTCTGGTGGTCAGCGCACGTCATAGAGAGCGAGTTAACTCCAGGTCTCCTGGTTGAACTCCCAAGGGGACAATTTGCATATTAGGCATATATATATATAAAATCCATTTTGTGCTTTATGGGAGTAGTTTTTCAAACCTTTAGTGCATGTGCTTTTAAGCATATTTTTCTATTAGACTTTGTGTTAGAGTGGCAACTTTTGGTAAACACTGGGATATTTCTACAGTTTTATGAGCCTTTTTGTACATGATATGAGACAGGAGACCAATTTCATTTTTAAAATATGGATAATCAATGGTATCTACACCATTAATTGAATAAAACTATCCTTTTCCTATAACACTGCAATTGCCCTTTATGTTTTATATAAAGAACTTATATATGCAGAATCTGTAACTAAGCTTTCTATTCTTTTCTTTTGGTCTATTTGCCTTTATTTGCACTTATAATACTTTACTTATGATAACCTTATACAAGGCCTTGATATCAGAAATAACAGGCCTTCCAACTATTCTTTTTAAAGCCAGGCTTTTAAAAGTCCGTCTGAAAGTTGTTTTTTTGTTGGTTACTCTTTACTCATACAAGGCAGCCCTTTGCAGTCCTACTCCAAAATGGGGGCTGATTTTACTGGTCACCAGCCTTCACATGTATAGATAAGGGTCTAAATTCTCTCTTTCATTTCCCAACACAAGGCAGCAGCAGCAAAGAATAGCACTGTCGTAGGAGAAAATGCCTGCAGCAGTCACTGGCCAGTTCAATAAATCCTCACTTGCTGCTTAAGACCTAATTGGAGTCAGTGGTCTTATTCTTGCGAACATTGGTCCACAACAACTGTAGCTGCCAAACCTTCATTATTTCTAAAATATTGCTCAACAATGAAAACGCGTTGTTCTTTCATCTAGTGCTCCATTTTTAATAACCCTGAACTGTCAGCTGTCATGCTATCTTTTTTCTCTCTCGTTGGCAACACTTTACAGCACAAATGGCGTAAAATTCAAATCTTGCGTGAATTTTGGGACACCCTTTAATTCCCCAACACCTTTCTCCAAATGATTTCAAAATCCATTGATGATTTCTGCCCAGAGCAATTATTAAAATTTTAGGTTGAAGCAAAACCATGACTTTCTAATTCTGTCATTTCTTGCATATTTATTAGCTGGCATCCTTCCTTAAATAAGAACTCTCCTGCCTTGCCTCCTCACCTCCTCTATACTTTAGGTAATATTATGGACACATATATTCTGTTTTTATTGAATACTTTCTAATTAATTATTGGCTTTTTTAATGCTTAAATCTCCCTAAATTTGGCCAGTATCACTCCCTTCAAGCTGGCTTCTTTGTCCTTTGAACAAGTTTCCCCAGTCTTTGAACATTGCCTTGCATTCTGAATATTGCACCCCAGCCAAGAGAGGGAGAGAGAAGGAGAGAGGGAGAGAGAGAGAGAGAGAGAGAGAGAGAGAGAGAGAGAGAGAGAGAGAGAGAAGACTAGGGTCACTTTGACCTCCCCTGTCTCAATCCTGGAATCAAAGATTTCTCCATGAACCTCCAGTTCATTTTATAAACTAGAAGTTCATAAAATGGTGCATAAGAGCCACTATCTAGGGATTAAGTGCCCTTGCCATCAGGGTATCACTGATCTTTTTTCTTTATTCTTTTTAAAACATATATTTTTATTTATTTCAGAGAGAAAGGGAGAGGGAGAGAGAGAGAAGAACATCAATGATGAGAAAGAATCATTGATTGGCTGCCTCCTGCACGCCCCACACTGGGTATCGAGCCCACAATCTGGGCATGTGCCCTGACTGGGAATCGAACCATGACCTCCTGTTTTATGAGCCACGCAGGCTGGGCTTTTCTTTACTCTTAAGAGCTATTGACATTATTCTTTACCTACGTTATATTTTACAATTTTTTTCTCTCATTTTCTCATTTGTCCTTTTTTACAAATAGGAATAATGTTTTTATGTATGTTATGTGGTTTCTGAATTTTCAGTTGTCATTTGTCTAGTTAAGTTCTCAGACTTGCGTTATGTAAAACTTCACCTATGTTTTCTTCTTGCACAGGTATGGTCTTGTTTTACATTTAGATTTCTAATTCATTTGGGATTTATTCTTGTGTATGACGTAGAGATCCAGTTTCACTGTTTTCCCAAATGGCTAGCTAGTTAGTTGTTTCAATTTCATTAGATTAAAACACCATTTGACATGGCCCATATATTTTTGTGTATTTGTATTCATTTCTGAATTTTTGTTTATTGCATTCAGCTGTGTCTACTTTTGTGCCAGTACCATAGTGTTTTTTTAAATTAAATTTATTGGGGTGACACTGATTAATGAGATTAAATAGGTTTCAAATGTACAATTCTATGATACATCATCTATATATTACATTGTGTTCCCACCACCCAAAGTCAAATTTTCTTCCATCACCATATATTTGACCACCTTTATCCTTTACTACTTCCGCATCCTGCTTCCCTCTGTTAACCACAATACTGTTGTCTGTGTCTATGAGTTTTTGTTTGTTTTTCTTGTTTGTTCATTCGTTGCTTTCAGTTTTATATCCCACATAGGAGTGGAATCATATGGTTCTTAACTTTTTCTGTCTGACTTAGTTTGCTTAGCGTGATATTCCATGTGTGGCAAAAACACCGTATTTCATCTTTTCTTATAGCTGAATAGTTTTACATTGCATATATGTACCACCTCATCTTTATCCAATCATCTATCAAAGGATACTTCAGTTCTTTACATGTTTTGGGGCACCATGAATAATGCTGCAATGAATACTTAATTTTGTCAAGAGCCTTAACTGAAGGAGAAAAATAATATAATTTTCCCTATGATGAAAACCAAAAAATAGAGTGTGAGACAGTAAAAAAATATAAAATAAAGCTTAAGAGGTATAAGATAAGGCCATACATTATACACCCAACAGTAGAGTAGATAGAGGCTATGGGAAACAAAATATTTGAAAAAATAATTTCTGAGAATTTTCCAGAAATAGTAAACATTAATCTACTTATTCAGGAAGATCAAAATAGCCTGGCCAGTATTTTTTTAAAACGGAAAAGAAATCCACATTTGGTCATATTATTGTGAAATTGCTGCATTCCAAAGGAATAAAAACAAAAATAGAAATTTCATTATGAAACTGGCATTTGTAAGTTAAATACCATTTCATAATTTCAAAGTGACAAAATTAAAAGTCTGACAATGTTGGTGAAGATGTGAAGTAATAAGAACTTTTATAATGAGCTATTGAAAGTTCAATCTCTTACTAAAAAATTAGAGAATTATTTGATATTTGTTAATAAAGAAATATAGGCACACAAATTTCTCTTCTAGAGAAATGGCACACAGGTGCACCTGGAGATTTATATAAGGATGGAAGAAACAGCATTGGGTGCAATAGTAAAAAAATTGTTCAAATGTCTGATGTGAGGATAATTCACTAGTAATTTCTATATTCTTACATAGTGAGATAGAACATGCAGAAGTGGAAAAGAATGAAATACATCTATATCATGTACAACCACATACATAAATCTTTAAAAAAAAAGGCTTAGGGAATACAGCAAATCACAGAAGACTGCAAACAATATAATACATTCATATGAAATTGAAAATGGTCAAAATGCAATAATATATTGTTTGGAGATGGAAAACTTTTTTTTTAGCAAGAAAATGAGACCTGCAGGGGCCAAATGTACCCGGGAAAGAGCCCACAAGGAACTTCAAGTGTACTGATGTTTCTTATGCGATGTGGTCATAAAAGGGTGTAACAGAAACATAATTTATTTAAAATATATTAACAATAAACAGATACTTTTTAAAATATTGTTAGTTGATATGCTGTTCTGCTATAACCCTGCATCAATTGGCGCACCGTCTACCCACTTACACTCCAATTCAACTTGTGAACATTTGCTTTGAAACACATATTTCATGAATATTCACTTAAACACTTTGTTAGGCTCTCGCAACCTCACATTTCTGCCATTTATTTGTAATGTTTCTTGAGATATTCTATTGCTCCTCCCAATTCCATACATCATAGTTCTTGGAGCTCAAATATAATGATATACAACCCCAATAGAGAAAGATTTGCTCTAGAAAACATGCTTTATATGGCATATTTGTGCTTATTTTCCTTCCAGGTTTTTAAAGCAAAGTTTCTCTTTTTAAGTGGTAGGTTTCCATGAATGAATGAATAATAGAGTTTCAGAAACTTTGTAACACCATTTCTACAACACAATCCTTTCCGTTCTCATCAGGTAATAAGTACAATTTGGTTTATTCACATCAGAGGAGATTCTAGTGGGATATCTGTTTCTTTTTCTGATAATTCTATGATCATACTAGAGGCCCGGTGCACAAAAATTTGTGCACTCGGGGGGGAGGGGAGGACCCTCAGCCCGGCCTGTGCCCTCTCGCAGTCTGGGACCTCTCTGGAGATAACGACCTGCTGGCTTAGGCCTGCTCCCGGGTGGCAGAGGGCAGGCCCAATCCCTACGTGCAGCCCCTGGTCGGGCTCAGAGCAGGGCTGATTGGGGAGTTGGGGCGCCGCCCCCTGTCATGCACAGAGCAGGGCTATTGGGAGGTTGTGATGCCACCCTCATTCACGCTCACGGTAGGGCCGATTGGTGGGTTGGTGCACCATCCCCTGTCACACTCAGGGCAGGGCTGATGCGGAGGTTAAGGCTCTACCCTGTCACACACAGAGCAGGGCCCATTAGAGTGGTTGGGGCGCCTCACCCTGTCACACACAGAGCCGCAGGGCGGTCAGGGGTTTGGGGAGCTCCCCCCTATCAGGCACAGGGCAGGGCTGTTCAGGGGGTTGGGGCGCCTTCCCCTGTCACGAACAGAGCAGGACAGATAGGGAGGTTGTGGCCCCACCCCCTGTCACACTCAGAGCCACAGAGCGATCAGGGGGTTTGGGCGCTGCCCCCCGTCACGCTGATCCCAGTGCCGGGAGGCCTCTCGGCTCCACTGATCCTGGTGCTGGGAGGCATATTACCCTTTTACTATATAGGGTAGATGCCTGCTGCACGGGTGGGGGCCGGCTGGTTTGCCCTGAAGGGTGTCCTGGATCAGGGTGGGGGTCCCCTCTGGGGTGCCTGGCCAGCCTGGGTGAGGGGATGATGGCTGTTTGCAGCTGGTCACACACCCTTCAGGGTGGGGGTCCCCACTGGGGTGCCTGGCCAGTCTGGGTGAGGGGCTGAGGGCTGTTTTCAGGCTGGGGGTGACTGAAGCTCCCAACCACTCCTTTTTTCCTTTTTTTCTTTTTTATTCTGGGCCAGCTTTAGCTTTGAGGCTTGGCTCCAGCTCTTAGGCCTCCGCTGCTGAAAGTAGGTTTCTGGCCTTTGCTTACAATGTTGCGATCCTGCTGGCTGATGCCCGGTGGACTAAAGCAGGTTTCTGGGGTTTTGTTGAGCTTCTATATTTGTTACATAGTTGATTAGAGTTGCAGCTCAGAGGCCTGCAGCGGCAGGCGGGGAACGTTGGAGTCCTCTGTCACTGAAGCAAGCAAGCCTCATATTAGTTTCAAGCTGCCTGGCTGCCCGCTGCCATCTTGGCTGGCAGTTAATTTGCATATTGCCCTGATTAGCCAATGCGAAGGGTAGCGGTTGAACGACAATTACATTGTTTCTCCTTTATTAGATAGGATAGAAGCAACTCAGTCCAATATGACCAAAGTGGTGAGCTGTATCTTCATTTTAGTTACAAATCTGTTTTGCTAGAGGAAGGAAAACCATAAGTGGTAGCTGAGAATTGAAGAATAAGCAAGGAGAGAGTCTCCCTGCAGGTGACCGAGGAAGCACAGCTCTGCTGACACCCTGATTTTGGACTTCTAGACTCCAGACTAGGAGATGGTAAATTGCTGTTGCTGGCAGCAGGTCATGGTGGAAAATACAAAATAAGATTATGGAAATAGGTACAAATGTGTCAGCAATCCAATTTTGTAAATCCTTTTGTATTTTTTTAAACACAAAATTTGTAAAACCCACACCTAAGTTATACTAACATAAAAAGTTTGGAAATAAGGAACATTTTATACTGAAACTCTCAGTCAATATGATGGCATCTCTGCTACCAAAATAGAGCAATACCTATTAAAAACAGCCAGTTTGGCTCAGTAGATAGAGCGTGGGTTCTCAGTCTGAAGGGTTGCAGGTTTGATTTTGGTTAAGGGTATACACCTCGGCTGCAGGCTCGATCCCTCACCCTAGTCAGGGCACATGCAAGAGGCAACCAATCAATGTGTCTCTCTCACACTGATGTGCTTTCTTTCTCTCTCTATCTCTCCTCCTGCATTGCACTCTCTCTAAAAAAAAGAAAGAAAGAAAGAAAGAAAGAAAGAAAGAAAGAAAGAAAGAAAGAAAGAAAGAAAGAAAAATATCCTCAGATGAGGATTAACAACAACAACAACAAAATAACCATCAAAAGCCTGGCTGGTGTTGCTCAGTGGTTGAGCATCAACCTATGAACTAGGAGGTTATGGTTTGATTCCTGATCAGGGCACATGCCCGAGATGTGGGCTCAGTACCTAGTAGAGGTGTGCAGGAGGCAGCTTATCAATGATTCTCACTCATCATTTATGTTTCTGTCTCTCTTCCCCTCTCATTTATATAATTATTTATTAATATTGATTATTGCTGATTGATCATAATAAATGACTGTAGCCCTGGCCAGTGTAGCTCAGTGGATAGAGTGTTGACCCATTCACCAAAGGATCACCTCAGGTGAGGATTAACAAAAGAAAAAAAAAAGACTGTAGTCATTGTGATTCATCATTTAATAATTCATATAACTCATTCACTAAATAATTTCTCTCTTTTTACTGGTCAAAAGCCATTTGCTGATAATACACATATTAAATATGTTTATATTTTATAATATATGTGTATAATTTTTAAGCATTCTTTAATAAATCTATATAACTGTGAAATGGAGAATGCACAGGAAATTGACCAATGGATATAAATAATAAAAAGTCCCTTTGAAAACAAGGATATTTCCTAACATCTTGAAAGTCATGAGTCATTGCATGAGGGGATTACCAAGATATATATATATATAGAGAGAGAGAATTAACTAATGCCTCCTGACACTTGTGAATTTAAAACAAGTGAGTCCAATTTGATCTTATGCTTAAGTATTGTTAACGAAGGAGATGAAACATTACTGTATCTATTAACCTCCCAGAAAGCATATTCTAATATCTAGCTGAACTTGATTCTTCTGACCTTCAAATTCATTTCTCCTAATATATGCTACAATATAAAAGAAGAATCCCCAAATAATTCAGAAAAAGAGCTGAACTACTTTCTGAGTCTTCAGTCTTTAGAAGCTGTGTTATGATGTAAGGAATTGAGCTGAGTTTCAAAGTAGTCAAAATACATGAGGCTGTTCAACTGAGGTGGAGCTATAAAATAGCCTAATACTTAACATTTTGATAAAAGGAATATAAATCTAGATTGTTTATTATATTTATTTTTAATTAAATTTATTAGGGTGACATTGGTTAATAAAATTATATAGGTTTTGAGCATACAATTCTTTGACACATTATCTGCATATTAATTGTGTATTTACCATGTAAAATCAAATCATCTTCCATCACCATATATTTGATTCCCTTTACCACTTACCCTTTGTTTGCTGTTGTCTGTCTAAGAGTTTTCCTTTATTTGCTTTCCTTGTTTGTTCATTTGCTGCTTTCAGTTTTATTTTCCACATATGGGTGAAATCATATGGTTCTTGACTTTTTCTGTCTGACTTATTTCACTTCACATGATATTCTCAAGATCAATCCATATTGTAGTAAATAGCATATTTTTAAAAAATGTTTTTATTGATTTTTTAAAGAGAGGAAGGGAGAGGGATAGAGAGAGAGAAACATTGATGAGAGAGAAACATCATTGATCAGCTGCCTCCTGCACGCCCCCGACAGGGGACCGAACCCTGACCGGGATTCGAACCGGTAGCCTCTTGGTTCCTGGGACAATGCTCAACCGCTGAGCTACACCAGCCAGGCTATTTTATCTTTTCTTATGGCTGAGTAGTATTCCATTGTATATATCTACCACATCTTTTTCCAATCATCTATTGAGTGACACTTTGGTTGTTTCCATGTCTTGGCCATTGTGAATAATGCTGCAATAAGCATAGGGGTACATACAACTTTGTGAATAAATGTTTTCAAAAAACTTTAGTAGGTACCCAGAAAAGGGTGCTGGGTCATATGATTCCTCTATTCTTAATTTTTGAGGAACCTCCAAAAATGTTTTCCATAGTGGCTGTACCAATTTATAATCCCACCAGCAGTGAATGAGGGTTGATTTTTCTCCACAATCTTTTCAACACTTGTTATTACTTGTCTTGTTGATAATAGCCATTCAAATAGGTGTGGGGTGGCATCTCATTGTAGTTTTCATTTGCATTTCCCTAGTAGCTAGTGAAGTTGGGCATCTTTTCATATACCTGTTGACCATTAGTATGTCTTATTGGGAGAAGTGTCTCTCCAGGTCCTCTGCCCAATTTGTAATTGGATTGTTTGTTTGGGTTTGAGTTGTATGAATTCTTTTTGTATTTTGGAAATTAATCCCCTGAGGGAGCTGTTCAAGAGCTTCAAATGAAGAATAAAGAAAAACATGTAAGAAATACCAAGAAACTCACATTGCTACATTATAAATACTTACAACTGTGTGCCCAGCTTTTTGCTAAGTGCTATAAAGAAATCTCTCTCCTTTTCAGTTAACACTTGTGTGGGAGTAAAGACCAAAAGTGAGACTGGGAATGCAAAGGCGGGCTCCACAAGTGTCAGGGAAACATTGAGGGATGAGTAAGGCCTGGAAGAAGGCAGAGAAATTTTATCCAACAAACAGATTTCAAACAATATTTTTGAAGCCACTCGGATTTCCCCAAGGTCAGCCTACTTCTGTTGATACTTGCCATTTCATCATTTCTGCATTTGTTGCTGCCCAGAGTAAGGAGACTGACTTGTCCAATAAACTTCCTTGTCTGTCTTATGCAAGAAAGGAAATCGTGACTTGACCACACAGCCACCAAACAAATTAACATTCTTATGTCTTGGGGTTGAACTTCCTAAAATACTGATAAAGTGTTCATTCTTCAAGATTCCTTTTCCTTGAAACTTACCAACAAAATACTCTTGGACTCAGAAACTGAGGAGCAAGAGAGTGAGAGAGAGAGGAAGAGGGGGAGAGAAAAAGTGAAAGAGAAAAGAATGAATTCATCCAAATCACCAGCATCACAGAGCACAGGTAAAATTTGCAATTCTCCTTTTTCTTTCACAGATATGACTTTTTGGAAGAGGTGGTAAATATGTTGAAGGACAGGACTGTAGAAAAGGCTACAGTAAAGCAAAAGAAGAGAGACAGAGAATGAAACAGAGGAAACATGAAAGAATGGTTAGAAGAGTACATGTTATACTGGGAAGGTCACTGGACTTGAGTTCAGGGCGGGCTACCAGCCTGCTATTTCTGCCCTCTCGGTATCCACTGTGTCCCATTGGGTAAGGCACTTCACTTCTCTGGAACTCACTTTCCTTGTGTGTAATATGTTGTTTGGGAAGGGCAGGGAGAGGAACTACTAGATGAATTTGATGTTTTATATGATTGCTTTACAAAGGACTTGGAAAGTGAGGCACCAGAAAGAGGAGAGCAGGAGACAAGAAAAACAGAGGGGGAGAGGATGAGGGAGAAAGGAAGAAAAATAGAGAATGAAAGGGGAAAACTGTGAGTGACTTAGGAAAGGAAAAATGGCACATCTGTCCAACTTCATGAATCCGTCTTAAAATTAGTAATGGATTACGCTAGTGGTTCTAAATGTGTGGTCCCCAAACCACCACCACCACCACCACCAGCAGCAGCAGATGCAGCAACTCCTGGGAAACTTGTTGGCTCCATACCATCTCTAACTGAAGTCTTAACTCTGGGGGTTAACCTGTGTTGGAACCCTGTAATCTGTGTTTTAACACACCCTCCAAATGACTTTTATATATACTGAAGTTTGAGAAGAGCTCAATATAAGCACGGCATGTGGAAGGAAATATGTATGGTTGAATAAGAATGTATTATGCCTCTGGCTTAGGGAAGATGGGCCATATTTGTGTCTTTCTACAGAGAGAGGATGCGTCTCTTCCCAAGTGTTCTTATGGACTGTTGCTGGGATCTCCATCCAACTACTCAGTGCCTGTTTTATCACTCGATGTGTTTGTGAGTGCTGAAGGTCAAATGCAATCTTCCTGGGGAATATTAGGACTAAATTCTTCCTTGCTGCCTGTGGGTTCTCTTCTCCCATTAAGAGTATTTATATGCTACCTTTCCCCTCTATTTATTTCCAGGTCATTCCTCAAACCAGAAACACCAGCTAGTATAGAACTGTTACCAAATTTCAGTGACCTCGGATGCATTTTTAATGATAGACATTTTTCATCTCCTTGGTAGCCCTGAGTGCTTCCCTTTGTACCTCTGTCATTCACTAGTAGAACCCCTTCTATGAGATACGAGCCTGAGACATGACAAATCACTTTTTGGAAGGAAGGGTAGAGAGGATTAGACTTGGCATGAGAGAGAATGTTAACATATTTGTCTTCTCTTGGCCTATGTGCCTGAAGTAAAGTACATTTATTTTTATAAATTACAAAAAGCATAACATGTGATAAATCCCCTCTTTTTAAAGTAAATCTCAGTGCCTCTCCATGCAGAAGGAAAAGTAGATAGTAAGAAGATATGGTAATTGTTCGCAATTCTGTTATAAATACAAAAATAATAAAATTTATTTTATCAAAAGAGTAATAAATATTAACTGTGCCCCTGTCCTTACAGTGACATATCACATCTTTCAACTCTGTGATGAGAAGAAGGATGAGCCATATGAGCTCATAGAATTCAACTGCTACAATAATGCATCAGGTATAATATTCCTCAAATTTGAACATAAAATTTACATATCAATATTTGTTGGCTTCTAAATTGATTTTGGGATAAATAATGTAGTTTGAGTAGGTCCTGTTTTTCAAAAACAAAATGTAAAATCTTGCCTGTACTGTAATAGAAGGATAAGGAATGGTTAAGAAGACAGGAAATCTTGGGGACATTAGAGCAAACTTTTAGAATAAATTTGAGGTATATATCTGAACACTAAATCTAGAGGTGAACAGTGTTATCCCCAGGAGTGCACTTATTAATATTGTTATTATTATTATTATTATTATTCACCTGCTTCCAAATGAAGTAAAGAAAAAAATGTGTAGCATAGAGAATTTTGAAACAGCTCAGAAATATACTTTGTACGCTCTTCCACATAGTTTCCAAGTCTTAGAAAAATGCCGTATGACCCTAGAAAATGACTTCTTTCTTCGGGTTATAATTTCCTCACTATTAAATTAAGAGAGACTGGACTAATTATTTTTTAATACATTCAAAGGCTTCAATTCTATAATTGTAAGAACCAGTTTGGAGATTTTGTTGACTGTGCATTATTTGGGCAACATGAGAGATGGTTGCTTCGAGGTCAGTCCGATCAAATGCATCACAACTTTCTCTGACCTTGGCAAGTCTAAGAACAGCTAACAGGGCCCTATATCAATAGATAGCTAAGATAGATAGTATATATGGTTTATCTAGAAAATAAGGATTGTGTCTCAAAAGACAAGGATATTTATGGTTGTTTGTGTTTATTGACATAGGAATTAATAAAGTCTTAGATAGTAGGAAGGGGGGAGGGGGAGGTTGTTTCCAAGAGGTGCCAAGTCTTCTAACTATAAATGATAGACTTTATAGGGCCTGATAAAACTTTCTGTTTTCTTAATTGGTTCATATAGGACATTCATGGAAACTTCTCTCCTCCTAGGTTCAGTCAAGAATTGCTGTCCATTGGGCTGGGTACATTTTCAATCTAGCTGCTACTTTTTTTCTACTAACACCAGAAGCTGGTCAGAAAGTATGAAAAACTGTTCCAGCATGAGAGCTCATCTGGTGGTTATCAACTCAGAGGACGAACAGGTAGTTTCAAGTACAGACTCCCTGAGTGTCAGTGTAGCATTTCCCACATGATCTATCCCTTTTTCCATACATGTGTATGGTGTGTGGACCACAATTAACATTTTTAAACGAACATACTAAAATGCATGTTTTTCTTACTATTTCTGTAAGTCAATGCCTACTCTAATTTATTTTCATTTCTAGGAAAGCCTAAAGTAAAAAAGAAATTTCCATGTTTAGTTCCTTAGCAAGGCAGAAAAAAAAAAGTGGGGTCCCTTTTAGAATGACCATTGCATTTATGAATCTATTTCAATGAGACAAAGCAAATAGAATCCATTACCATTAAGTTGTGATTAATAATGCTTTGTGTTAATCTCTGCTGTAGATTTGGCTGCAAATCACAGTAGATACACTTTGAATTCTTGAGAACCTCCTTTGTTGAAGATTCTTTTTTGTTGGTTTAATTGTATGTTGTGTATATTTTTACCACAATTTTAAAAAATCAGAAGATAATCCTCTATGATCTCAACATAGGTTGTCCCCCAAAGATGTATACACACTTTATATAGGCAGTGTTCATTAAAATACATTTCATGTTCAAAAGGTAATAGAAATTATCTGTTAGAGTGCGTGTACATTTTGGGACAACATCCTGTGTTTCAGGGCCATGTGTCTATCATCTTTAGTCTAGGTCCTACTTTATCTCTTTAATTAACAATTACCGTCAACAGTTATTTAGAATTGAAATAATTGATCTCCTTTTTTTTTTTTTTTTTTTTACTGTGTATCTTCCATAGAAATTCCTTTTCCATGCAAAACCTAAAGATAGAGAGTTTTATATTGGACTAACGGACCAGGTGGTTGACGGTCAGTGGAAATGGGTAGATGGCACACCTTTCACGGAGTCTCTGAGGTACTTAACTTCTTTCTTGTAGGAGAATTTAACACGACCCTAAATCCTAGTTAGCCCATTTTGGAGGGGAGTTCTCAGAACCTCCTTCTGTTCCATGAAGTATATTCAGGGCCATCCTATTGCTTTAGTTTCCTAAGATTATCTCAAATATAAAGGTGAGTAGATAAACATGAAGAAGTGAGCAGCAGCCCTGTGCGGTGTGGCTCAGTTGATTGAGTGTAGCCCCTTGCACCACAGGGTCACCGATTCAATTCCCAGTCAGGGCAAATGCCCAGTTGTGGGCTCAATCCTCAGTAGGGGGCGTGCAGGAGGAAGCTGATCCAATGGCCCTCTCCCTCCTTCTCCTTCTCTCTCTAAAATCAATAAAATAAATGTATAAATAAAAAGAATGAAAGAAAAAAAAGAGGAGTAGAATTAGATACTAACACTTTGGAAATACATCAGCGACAAAGTGTGGAATTCATAGTTTTATGCTCCTAAACTGTAATAAATGAGACAAAAATAGTAATTTGAAAAAGACAGAAGATTCTTATGGAGTGAACACTCTTTTCTCCTTCATAATGGCTTTACAGAAGTAGAGCACAGCATTTGGAGTTTCCAAAGTTTTAATCTTTATCTCATTTAACCTAAGTTATGTCTTTCTGAGATACATCGATATTATGCCTTTCACTTAGCATTTGAGGGAACTAAGATTGGAGGGGCTTCAGTCAGTTCTGAGAGAATAGCCCACATGTTCTGGTACTTTTAAAAGTTGCTTCACTGCCCTAACCGGTTTGGCTCAGTGGACAGAGCGTCAGCCTGCAGACTCAAGGATCCCAGGTTCGATTCAATCAAGGGCATGTACCTTGGTGGTGGGCACATACCCAGTAGGGAGTGTGCAGGAGGCAGCTGATTGATGTTTCTCTCTCATCGATGTTTCTAACTCTCTATCCCTCTCCCTTCCTCTCTGTAAAAAACCAGTAAAATATATTTTTTAAAAAATTGCTTCACTACTACACTGTAACACCATTGAAGTATGCACCTAAATTAATACAAATTTTGTGTAGACTAAAGGGAATCAAAGGGGAGATGACATATGAGTGCAAAGAAAATAAATTCACCAGGACATCAGTTATTCCTATAACCTCTCATCCCAGGTCTAGTCTGTGAGGGAGCATGACAGAATGGAAAGAAGGCAGAAAGATCCAGTTCAACTTCACTACTGACAAACTCTATGACTTAGACAAATGGGTTAGCTTTTCTGAAATCCCTTTTCTTCATCAGTAAAATAGAGATTATAATTCCTACCTCACAAAATTGTTGTGAAGTTAAATAACACAAATGTAGCTTGTCTGGTATTGTAGGTCACATTATCTCTTGTTACTGGGATTTAAAATCTCCCATGGTATTTTTTTGTTTTTTTCTGTGTGTGTATGTTTTTCAGCTTCTGGGATGCAGGGGAGCCCAACAACCTACTTACAGTGGAGGACTGCGCCACCATAAGAGACTCTAATAATTCTCGGCAAAATTGGAATGATATGGCCTGTTTCTTAAATATGTTTCGGATTTGTGAAATGCCAGATAAAAGTATTTTGGACAAAGAGAAGTCTTCAAGAACAGAAGGCACAACTTAAATGTATTCGTGAGGGGGACCAAGAACATGAACACAGCCACAACTCCACAACACGAGAAACGTGTGCACTGTACTTCAGAAGGGCTCCACAAGTGTTTGCTGATTTGATGTGAATAAAAATAAATATTTTTGAATGTTATAATTCATGATACTGACTGAAGCGCATTTTTCTCTGTATGGGTCTCTCAGGTCTTTTCAGAATTTACAAGCAATTCTCTAGGAAATACTGTAAGTAGAAAAGCATGTCCCTTTTGGTACATCAGCTTCATATGTGAGAAATTATAGGAGGATACAGGGACAAAGCCCAGGCCGCTGTGAATCGGGTGGTTGGAGTGTTGTTCCATGCACGGAAGAGTCCCAGTCCAGTTCCTGGTCAGGGCACATGCCTGGATTGTGGGCTCAGTCCCCAGTGGAGGGTGCAGGAGGCAGCCGATTGATGTCTCTCTCATTGATGTTTCTCCCTCTTTCTCTCTTTCAAATCAATAAAAACATATTTAGAAAAAATAAATAAAAGCAAAAAAAAATCACATATCCTTGGGTGAGGATTAAGAAGATTTCTTTGGAACACTATGTGTCTGTCTATATCTATATATCTGTCTATATCTATGTCTATGTCTATGTCTATCTGTATCTCCTTATATCTATCTACATCTATATCTATGTCTCCCCTTATTCATGGTTTTGCTTTGAATGTTTTCAATTACCTACAGTCAACTGTTGTCCAAAAATATTAAATGGAAAATTCTACAACAATTCATACGTTTTATTTTTTTTGAAGTCCCATTTTTAAGTCTTATTTTTAAAAAGTGAGTAACCCATTCACATGATTCAAAATCTAAATGTAAAAGAGCATATAAAGTAAAAAGTCCCCCTCTTTCCTCTACTCCCCATTCTTCCTCCACAGTCCCCAGCCACCCAGTTCCCTTCATGGAGGCAATTAATGTCCCTACTTTCTTACCTATGTCTGTACTGTCATGCTTTAAAAAGAATATATCCAAGAACTAAATTCCAAGGAGGTGGAAGAGGTATAAGGTATAAATGGTGATGGGGAAAAGAAGAAAAAGAAAATAGCCAGTGTTTGGTGAGGATGTAGGGAAACAATTCATAAGTTTTAAATTGCTCGCTGTTCTGAGCAGCATAGTAACAATCTTGCGCCACCCCACTCTGCTCAGGACCTGAATCACCCTTTGTCCAGAGTCTGGTCTCCACACTGGATTCCCTACCTGCCCATTAGTCACTGTCTCATGATCAAATCAGCTGTTGTGGTATTGTGTGGCTTGTGCTCAAATAACCTTAATTTTACTTAATAATGGCTCCAAAGGGCAAGGTGGCAGTTCAAATATAGCAATAGAAGCTGTAAAATGTTTTCTTTAAGTAAAAAGGAAGAGTGTATAAGTAAAAACATAATACACTCATGCACACACACACACACACACACTCACACACACACTCAGAAAAGAATCGTACAGCAGAATTTACCAAATCATACAGCAGATGATACTTTTAAAATAGTACATTCAACTTTACTTAAATTTAACAAATAACAAATTGAAGTGAAATTAGAGAATTCTGAAACTTCAAGAATATTTTAGGCGTTATAAGTCAGCACAAGAATTATTTCCTGAAGATGCCTCTGAAGTAAATAAAAAATATGAAGAAGCATAAAAAATATTCTTCTTGGTCTTCTATTTTCTCTTTTTCCCAATCCCATTTTTCCTTCTTAACGATGCAGTACTATTGTCATTCATCAGGTGGTGCAGAGCAAGGTAGCTTTTACATATGCATACCTGTATGTATAGGAGTGAGGTTGGGGGAAAGGGTGCATACTAGTACTACCCCCATAGGGAGTTAGAACCTGACGGGGTGCATCTGTGTAAGGGGAAGGGTGGGGGCAGGAAAGGTAGTAAGGGTGTGGGTGGACCTATTGGATTCCAGAGACCATCTGGTAAAGTGATAGGTTGGTCCAAAATGTGGAAGCCTGAGCTAATTTGAGTATCATGGGTGTCTGAGCCCAAGTAGGAGGACCAACTGGAGGAGTCACAGGGCACATTGAGGGGTGAGGATCATCACACAGTCAAGCCCTAGCAGGTTGGCTTACAGGTCTTGCAATTAAGTTTTGTCCATAAAACTTGCACATTTGATCATTTATTCCTGGGTATCTTATAGTTATACGAGAGGCCTGGTGCATGAAATTACTGCATGAGGAGGAGGGTTCCCCCTCAGCCCAGCCTGCACCCTCTCCAATCCAGGACCCCCTGGGGGATGTCTGACTGCTGGTTCAGAACCAATCCCGGGGATTAGGCCTAAACCGGAAGTCAGACATCCCTCTCACAATCTGGGACCACTGGCTTCTAACTGCTCACCTGCCTGCCTGCCTGTTGCCCCTAACCGCCTCTGCCTGCCAGTCTGATTGCCCCTAACTGCCCCCCCTGCTGGCCTGGTGGCACTCGACTGACCACTCCTGTTGGCCTGGTCACCCCTAACTGCCCCCCCTGACGGCCTGGTCACCCCACACAGCCTGCTGTTCAGTTGTCCATTTGGTTGTTTTGGTCATGACAGCCCCTGGCTTTTTATATATTAGGATTGCTGTTGTAAGTGTAATGTTTTACATAAAAATACATTTTCTATATTTTGCAGGTACTATATAGTAATATTGTTGATCTTTATATATTGATCATTTATTCTGAAACTTTGCTAAACTCCACTATTATTTTTTTTTTTTTTTTTTTTTTTTTTTTTTTTTTTTTTTTTTTTTGGCATCTTTTCTTTATTGAATCTTCTAGCCAAAAATGGGAATGTGCCTTTTTCCTTTACATAGGTCCTTATGCCACATAATTGACTTTAAAAGTTTTATTCATATGTCTCCTGCACATTTTTTTTAAATTAAATCTTTATTGTTCAGATTATTACATTTGTTCCTCTTTTTTCCCCCCCATAGCTCCCCTCCTGCCAGTTCCCGCCCCACCCTCCGCCCTCACTCCCCACCCACTGTCCTCATCCATAGGTGCACGATTTTTGTCCAGTCTCTTCCCGCATCTCCCACACCCCTTTCTCCCCCAGGAATAATCAGTCCATTCCCTTTCTATGTCCCTGATTCTATTTGTAATCAACAGTTCATTCTGTTCATCAGATTATTTATTCACTTGATTCTTAGATTCACTTGTTGATAGATGCATATTTGTTGTTCATAATTTGTATCTTTACCTTTTTCTTCCTCTTCCTCTTCTTAAAGGATACCTTTCAGCATTTCATATAATCCTGGTTTGGTGGTGATGAACTCCTTTAGCTTTTCCTTATCTGTGAAGCTCTTTATCTGACCTTCAATTCTGAATGATAGCTTTGCTGGATAAAGTAATCTTGGTTGTAGGTTCTTGGTATTCATCACTTTGAATATTTCTTGCCACTCCCTTCTGGCCTGCAAAGTTTCTGTTGAGAAATCAGCTGACAGTCGTATGGGTATTCCCTTGTAGGTAACTGAGTTTCTTTCTCTTGCTGTTTTTAAGATTCTCTCTTTATCTTTTGCTCTTGGCATTTTAATTATGATGTGTCTTGGTGTGGTCCTCTTTGGATTCCTTTTGTTTGGGGTTCTCCGCGCTTCTTGGACCTGTAAGTCCATTTCTTTCACCAGGTGGGGGAAGTTTTCTGTCATTATTTCTTCAAATAGGTTTTCAATATCTTGCTCTCTCTCATCTTCTGGCACCCCTATAATTCTGATGTTGGTACGCTTGAAGCTGTCCCAGAGGCTCCTTATACTATGCTCGCATTTTTGGATTCTTTTTTCATTTTGCTTTTCCGGTTGGGTGTTTTTTGCTTCCTCGCATTTCAAATCATTGACTTGATTCTTGCGCTCCTCTGGTCTGCTGTCGGGAGTCTGTATAATATTCGTTATTTCAGTCCGTGTATGCTTAATTTCTAGTTGGTTCCCCAATATAAGATCGAGGGTCTTATTAGTTTTCTTGTAGATCTCATTAAGTTTATCGGCGGCTTCTAAACAGTTCTTGAGAGACCTTAAAAGTGTGGTTCTGAACTCTATATCTTCCATTGACAATTTTGTCCTGTTTCTTTGTCTCCGCATTTTGTTATGCTTCCTTGGTGCACCCCCTAGTGGTCTTTGTTCGCAGTCTTATAGTTAAATCTTGATTGTTGTAGTTAATTCCAGGGAGGGTTTGACCTCCAGGCCAAGTGGCTATGAGAATCAGCTGTGTCAGCAGTGAGAGAACTTCTGTCCTCTAGGGAGGTGCTAATCTGGCGTTTGCCTGAGGCTATCCGGCAAATGCCTGTGTGCAGGGCTTGGGCGGGGCGGGTCGCACAGGATCAACAGGGTGGGCCGGAGAGAGCAGTTATGGCGGCTCTCAGTCCTGTCCCCAGGGGCTCTGCCTCTCTGAGTCCCAGCACCCGCTGCAAAGCTCAGAGAGAAAGCTGCACTCACTCTGACCGAAGCCAGACAGTCCCGCTTCTCCCGTTTGAGTCTGGGTCCCTAAAGACTCGCCTGGATCAGGAGCTCAGAGTCTGCGACTCCCTCCTGATTGAAAACGCCAACCGCGCCCTCCGCCGCCAGCCCACTCCGCGCACTCCGCACCTCAGAATTTGACTTCAGCACTGTGCCTCCTCTGAGTGTCCGTATGCGTTTCTCTTTCCTCCTAGTTGTAGGACTTCCACTCAGCCAGTGTTCCTGTGGTTCTGGGTGATGTCCCTTCCGTTTTTTGGTTTCACTTTTGAAGTAGTTGTTCAGAGCAGCAAACTCCGGCGTTAACCTATGCCGCCATCTTGGTTCTCCCTCCACTATTATTTTTTAACACTTTAGCTATACATCCCCTTATATTTTCTATGTAGCTAATTATATCATCTGTATACTTAGCTATCCAGGACTGTAGTCACTGAACATTGAGCACTAGTCCTAGTTGAGATATACTGGGAAGTGTAAAATATACACCAGATTTTGGATGACTAAATTGGAAAGAAATGTAAAATATATCACTAATAATTTAATATTTATTACATGCTAAAATGATAATATTTTGAATATAATGGTTTAAATAAATAAATTATTTGATTACTTTTTTGATGTGGTTATTGAAAAATTTAAGCATATGTAACTCACATTTTTGGCTTGCTTTATACTCCTTTAAACAGTCTGGTCTGCAAATAACTTTCTGCCAGTCACATATTTTCATGGGGAAAATAATCCTCTTGGAATCCTGATCTAGGATTGCTCTCAGATATGTCCCACAACCATTATTATTTTTTATTTTTAAATAAATCTTTATTGTTGAAAGTATTACATATGTCCCTTTTCCCCCGCATTGCCCTCTCCCACCCCTCTCCCCATCAAGCCTTCACCACCCTATTGTCTGTGTCTATGGGTTATGCATATACCCATATGAGTTCATTGGTTGATCTCTCCCTCCTCCACCTTCACCTGCCTTCCCTCTGAGGCTTGACAATCTGTTCCATATTTCTATGTCTCTGAGTCTATTTTTGTTCATTAGTTTATGCTGCTCATTAGACTCCACATATGAGTGAGATCATGTGATACTTATCTTTCTCTGACTGGCTTATTTCACTGAGCATAATGCTCTCTAGGTACATCCATGCTGTTGCAAATGATAGGAGTTCTTTCTTTTTATAGCTGTGTAGTATCCCATTGTATAGATGTGTTACAGTCTTTAATCCACTAATCTGCTGATGAGCACTTAGGCTGTTTCCACATCTTAGCTATTGTAAGTTGCGCTGCTATGAACATAGGAGTGCATGTGTTTTTTCTGATGGGTGTTTCTGAATTCTTGGGATATATTCCTAGAAGTGGGATCACTAGGTCAAATGGGAGTTACATTTTTAATTTTTTGAGAAAACTCCTAACTGTTTTCCACAGAGGCTGCACCAGTTTACATTCCCACCATCATTGTACTAGGGTTCCCTTTTCTCCACATCCTCACCACTTGTCATTTTTTGATTTGTTAATGATAGCCATTCTAACAGGTGTGAGGTGGCACCTCATTGTCATTTTAATATGCGTCTCTCAGATGATTAGTGACTTGGAGTATTTTTTCATATGCCATTTGGCCTTCTGTACGTCTATTTTTGAGATGTGTCTATTTAGGTCCTGTGCCCATTTTTTAATTGGATTGTTTATCTTCCTTTTGTTAAGTTGTATGAGTTCCCTGTAGATTGTGGAGGTTAACCCCTGATCAGATGTATCATTGGCAAATATGTTCTCCCATGGAGTGGGCTCCCATGTTATTTTTTTATGGTTTCTGTTGCTGTCCAGAACCTCTTTATTTTGATGTAGTCCCATTGGTTTCTTTTCCTTAATTTCCATTATCCTAGGAGATGTATCCATAAACATATTGCTATGAGAGATGTCTGAGATTTTGCTGCCAATGGTTTCCTCTAGGATTTTTATGGTTTCACATCTTACATTTAAGTCTTATCCATTTTGAGTTAATTTTTGTGTATGGTGTAAGTTGGTGGTCTGATTTCACTTTTTTGCATGCATCTGACCAATTTTCCCAACACCATTTATTGAAGAGGCTGTCTTGACTCCATTGTATTCTCTTGTGTCCTTTGTCAAATATTAATTGAGCATAATGGCTTGAGTCAGTTTCTGGTTTCTCTGTTCTGTTCCATTGGTCTACATGCCTGTTCTTGTGCCAGTTTCTGGCTGTTTTGAGTACAGTGGCTTTGTGGTATAAAGGCAACAAATTGGAAAGGAGGAAGTAAAACTTTCACTATTCATAGATGACATAATACTGTATGTAGAAAACCCTAAAGACTCCATCAGAAAACTACTAGATTTAATAAATGAATTCAGCAGGACGTTCAAAAAAGAGAGAGCGGGAGATATACACAAGTAGAAGAATATGCCATGTTCATGGATTGGTAGAATCAACATCATTAAAATGGCCATAGTACCGAAAACAATCTATAGATTCAATGCAATCCCTATCAAAATACCAAAGGCTTATTTCACAGACCTAGGACAAATATTCTGGAAATTTATATGGAATCAAAAAAGACCCTGAATAGCCACAGCAACCTTGAGAAAGAAGAACAAAGTTGGTGGGATCACAATACGAGATATTATCATGTTATACCACAACCATTATTTTGTTGATTTTTATTACATAAGAAACTTTTTTTTGTCATTTTAAAGCTATTTCAAATTATGATACATCTATACAATAAAACACTATTTACTTATAAGCAACCAGGTATAGAACAGTTTCCAAGGTATATTGTTAAGTAAAAAATGCAAGATGTTTAAGACTATGTAGATAACGTTTCCATTAGGGTAAAATATTGTGGGTTATATATCTACATATGTTATATAACACATATAAACATTCATTGAAATATAGAAACTGACCATGTAGTTACTCAGAAGAAGCATGTAGAAGACTGGAGCTCAGGGTGGAAGAGAGATTTATTTTATACTTTTATTAATGTTTTTACTATTTGCTTTTTAAAATATTTACATTACTTTTTTGAAGATAAAAACAGTATTTAAATTTCTTTGTCCTTCAAACTTCTAGGACTACCACAGCGTACTAAACTAATTAGCATTTATTTTTATGACATTACTATCAGTTGTGTCAAAGAAATTTTGGTGAATAGAAAAGATGTCATGAGTGTTGAGAACAGAATGAAAGGGACTAAGGTTGGAATCAGCGATGCCAATTAGAAGGCTGTTGCAATTATCCAGTTAAGGAGATGGTGGCCTTGTCTTTGGTGGCAGCCATGGAAGTAAGGAAAAATGATGTACACATAGATGTATAAAATCACAGAGGGGTCCTAGCTGGTTTGGCTCAGTGGATAGAACTTCAGCCTGCGGACTGAAGGGTCTCAGGTTCCAATCCAGCCAAGGGCACATACCTAGGTTGCAGAATTTATCCCCAGTCGGGGATGTGCCCTGAAGGGTGTCCCAGATCAGGATGGTGGTAGCGCTTGGGTGCCTGGCCAGCCTGGATGAGGGGATGATGGCTGTTTGCAGCTTGTCACACCCCCTTCAGGGTGGGGGTCCCCACTGGCCTGCCGGGCCAGTCTGGGTGAGGGGCTGAGGGCTGTTTTCAGGCTGGCAGGCAAGTGAAGCTCCCAACCTTTCCTTTTTTCTTTTCTTTTTTATTCTGGAATTTATTTACCATCTATGGCTGTCACTGGAGCTGAGAGCCGGCTCCAGCTTGAGGCCTCAGCTGCTGAAAGCAGGGATCTGGGTTTGTTTGGGTTCTATAATTGTAACATTGTTTCGGTCCTGCTCGCTCCAGCTCTGATGGCTGAAAGCAGGATTATGGGTTTTTTTCAGCTTCTATAATTGCAACATTGTTTCTTAGAGTGCAGCTCAGAGGCTGGCAGTGGCAGGCGGGGAACCTTGGCTTCCTCCATCGCTGGAGCAAGCAAGCCTCCTGTTCGCTTCAGCTGCCTAGCTGCTGGCCGCCATCTTGGTTGGCAGTTAATTTGCATATCGCCCTGATTAGCCGATGGGAAAGGTAGCGGAGGTATGGTTAATTACCATGTTTCTCTATTATTAGATAGGACTAGAGGCCTGGTGCATGAAAATTTGTGCACCCTCTCATAGTCCAGGAGTCCTCATAGGATGTCCTACTGACGGCTCCTGGGAGGAGCGGGCCTAAGCCGCAGTCTGTCCTCCCTCTGCGGGCAGTGATTGTGCCAGCTGATCAGGGGACGGCATCGCCCCCATCACCCTGCCATTGCCACCTGGCCTCCCACTGTGAAAGGCAACCGAACGGGCGGATCAGGGGATGGTGCCAGCCCCCTCCATTGCCCCTCTGCCGCCACTGGTTGCCACCATCCCCATCGCCGTTCCCTCCCTCTGCCCACTGGCACGAACCTTGGCTGGCAGGGCGCTGCCTGCTCGCCAGCCCCATCCCCCATTGACTGGTCATTTCACTGTTTGGTTGATTTGCATATTATGCTTTTTATTATATAGGATATTCATTTCAGGTGTACAATATAGTGGTTCGACATTTTTATGTCTTACAATGTGAATATTTCACTAAATTTTAAGAGTTAAGATTTGGGGTAGAGGAAAAAATAACTAAAACATTGCATCGTTTAAGCCATTCTGCTAAATGTGTAATAAATGCACACCAATAAATTCTTTGAAATCCTATCAAGAAAGCAAAATTAATGAAAACTGATTTTCATAGAAGAGATTATTCCTTCCACAAAAGCACTAAACAAAAACACATTATCTTGAATGAATTGAAAAAATAAGTCCCATCATGCCTGAAAGTGTTCTATTTTCTAGTATGTTTTCTCTATTCCAGTGGTGCATGTACATTCTTCCCTAGGCTAATGGGTTCTTCTCTTCTGTCCTCATCACAGGAACCTCTTCATAACGTTCAGGTGAGTATTCTTCCAGGTTTCTTACAAATCCTACTTGCCTCAAAGTTACAAGAAAGATTACTCCAGGCCCATTTGTTTTGGTCATTAGCAAGGACAACACAATTTTCCTTCTGATGATTATTGGGTTCACCCTTATGCCAGAATCTGAAATGAAAAAAAGTATATGTAATACACACACACACACACACACACACACACACACACACACGGTGTGTGGCAGGGGACTATGCAGAGAAAATCACCCTAAATGCCCTTAAGTGAGAAATTTAGAGCTGCCCTGCCCTGCCCAATACAAGTGTAGTAGTAGTTTACTAGTATAAAGGTTACACAACACATGGTGCTGAGTAAGCACTTTTACACTGGTATGCTCCACCCCAAAATGAATTCTGCTTGCTACCTTCTTCCCATTTTTGCCTATAAAACTCTTTCATCCCAGTCAATATACTCACTCCATATGTGGGTTAAATGGCGTCCTGTTCACCCATTGCCAGAGGCCTTCAGGATTCTCATATGACAGTCCCAGGAAATATGAAAATCGTCTATCCAAAAATTGAGTAATAAAGTTCTGTATAAAAAAAATTGTAAATTCTTATAAATTTATTTGCACTTATCATGTGATAGATGATAGGAAAAGAGGAAAGAGGTTGAATAGATTACTACTGAAGCAAAAAGGGTTGGCACCAGATGGATCTGTTTTCATATCCTGCCTCTGCTGTTTACTATGTACTGTTAGAAAGTGCTTTAGTCTCACCAAACCCTAGTTTTCTTATCTTCAAAAGAGACAATTCCACTACTGCACTGAGTTATTTTGAAGATTAACTGAGATCTACTTAACAACTACTTAACAAATATTTAATAGGATCAGATTATCAGGAACTTTTGGTTTTAAATTTTCCCTCTTTAATTGTATGTATATTTTATTAAATCCCATTTTATTCAAAGAGTCTGCCTATAGATTGGAAAGCCATGAAAACAGAATTCTCCAGGAAATCCTTCTGATCAGCAAAAGGGTAGAATGTGACTTATGGTACATATATGGAAATATATTACATAAGAAAATACATTTCAATTTTTACATTAAGATTTTTTTTTTAAACTAGAGGCCTGGTGCACAAAATTTGTGCATGGGAGGGGTAGGTATCCCTCAGTCTAGCTGGCACCCTCTCCAATCTGGAACCCCTTGGGGGATGTCCAACTGCCAGTATAGGCCCGATTCCTGTGGCCTAAACAGGGACCAGGCCTAAACCAGCAGTCGGATGTCCCTCTCACAATCTAGGACTGCTGGCTCCCAACTGCTTGCCTGCCTGCCTGCCTGATTGCCCCTAACCACTTCTGCCTGCCAGCCTGATCACCCCCTAAACACTCCCCTGCCAGCCTGATCAACGCCTAACTGCTCCCCTGCTGGCCCAATGCCCCTACCTGCTCTTTCCTGCTGGCCCCGTCACCCCCAACTGCCCTCCCCTGCCTGCTTGGTTGCCCCCAACTGCCCTCCCCTGCCTGCTTGGTTGCCCCCAATTGCCCTCCCCTGATGGCCCGATTGCCCCCAATGGCCCTCCCCTGCTAGCCTGTTTGCCCCCAACTGCCCTCCCCTGCAGGCCTGGTCTCCCACAACTGCCCTCCTCTGCTGGCCTGGGCACCCCTAACTGCCCTCCCCTGCAGGCCTGGTCGACCCCAACTGCCCTCCCCTGCTGACCTGATTGGCCACAACTGTCCTCCCATGATGGCCACATGTGGGCTGCCATCTTTGACCACATGGGAGCGACCATCTTGTGCAAGGGTGTGATGGTCAATTTGCATATTACTTCTTTATTATATAAGATTATAACCGTACATCTGAATTATTTTTTCTATGCTTTATCCTGTAGCTCTTTTAGTGTCAATTAACCATTCATTTATTTACTTATTATGACAGTTATTAAGACATAGCCAGAGTGCCTAGCACTGTGCAGGACATTAGTGATACAAAGATGAGTAAGGCATGGCCTCAGCCTTCTACAAAGTAGAAATCATTGGAAGAAATGGAGTATTAAAAAGATAATTGCAGGACACTAAAGTAAGTGCCATGATCACACAATGCACAAAGTACCATAAAACACCTTCAACTTAGAATATGGAGGGTGGAGTAGGGAAGATGGTCAGGGTAGTTTTCTCTAGGAAATACTACATGAATGACATCTGGAAAGATCCAAAGAAATTGGTCATATTAATTAAATAATAGAGGACCCAGTCAGTGTGGTTCAGTGGTTGAGCATCAACCCATGCACCAAGAAGTCACTGGTTCAATTCTCAGTAAGGGCACATGCCCAGGTTGCAGGCAGGCTCCATGCCTGGTGGGAGCTGTGCAGGAGGCAGTAGATCAATGTTCTCTCTCTCTCTCTCTCTCTCTCTCTCTCTCTCTCTCTCTCTCTCTCATTCTCTCTCCCCCACCCCTTCCTCTTTCTCTAAAAATAAACACACACACACACACACACACACACACAAGTAAGGGAGGAAGAAAAGGCTTTCCAGGCACATGGAACAGATGAAGCAAAGGCACAGAAGCATGGTAGAGCAGACAAAGTCCTCTCTCTCCTCTAAGAGATTCAAAGCAGCAGAGAAACTGATGGGAGCCTCCCAACATACCTGCTCAGCTTCTGTGCTGATGGTGACCAGGTGGGCCCCTAGCCCTGTACAGTTCCTTCCACTCTCCACCCATGTCTTGTTGTCATGAAAAGGAAAATAGCAGCTGGACTGGAAGGCTCTCCAGCCAATAGGACAGCAATTCCAGGTGTCCCCTCATGAGAATATTGAAATAGAAATTAGTTACAAAGGAGCATTCATCTATACCAGATTGCATAACTCTTCTACTATCTAGTGTCCAGTTACCATTTATGGGAATAATATCAAGGTTACCAAAATCATTTTGTTTCCCTTTCAAAAAATATTCCTAATTACATTTCAAAATATCTTCTAAGCAAGAGTATTAAAATCATGTATTAACAATAAGAAAATTACAACATATTCTCTTAGAAGGGATGATTATTTTTCAATATCCCTGCATCTATTTGCATTTACTTTTAAAGTGTTTTCATAACAAAGCCTTTTACAGGACATTTTATCTAATGGGTGTGAAGAACCTACTAAAACTCTCAAGCGTTTCCCCATTCTTCAAAATGAGACTTTATAAATTCCAGAATAATAAAAGCGATAAAGACGAGAGTCGGAGGAAACAGTCCTTATGATATGTCTGAATCAAAAGATATGGAATTAAATTATACATTCTCCATTTATTTGATGACAGTCATGAGAAATAGTTCTATCTCAATTACTGATGTGGCCTCTTGTGCCATATTCTCAATCATGTTACTTTAATCTCTCCTGGTTGACTACAAATCTACTCTAAATCCGATTGTGAATTTTAATGGAAGTGGAAATGAGAAAGAAATTCTCTTATGTGTCTCTGCCACCTGTACCTTTCAGGTCTGATTTTTCCTCAATGCATGTCAGCTTGGACATTCCAGTGCTGCTTTTCTTACAGCGTAGAAAGTTGGTGTGGGTCACTGCCAAGGAGAAAAATAGTTTGTTTCCTTTCCCTATATAATCACTTAATTTGGAAAATGGGAGCTGACTGCTCTAATCTTTCTCTTATCCTAATAGGCCCTCACATTCTCTTTTTTTCCCCTTTGCAGTTCCTCTGTTGTAGCTCCAAGTGAATTGGTTGAAAGATATTGTTGAAATTAATATTTTTATTATCATACTAGAAGCCTGTTGCATGAATTCATGCATTTGGGGGGGGGGGGTCCATTAGCCCAGCCTGTGCTGTCTCGTAATACGGGACCTCTCGGGGGATGTCCGACTGCCACGCCACCCTCTGGTGGTCAGCGCATGTCATAGAGAGCGAGCGAACTCCAGGTCTCCTGGTCGAACTCCCAAGGGGACAATTTGCATATTAGGTATATATATATATATATATATATATATATATATATATATATATATATATATGATCCATTTTGTGCTTTATGGGAGTAGTTTTTCAAACCTTTAGTGCATGTGCTTTTAAGCATATTTTTTTATTAGACTTGGTGTTAGAGTGGCAACTTTTGGTAAACACTGGGATATTTCTACAGTTTTATGAGCCTTTTTGTACATGATATGAGACAGGAGACCAATTTCATTTTTAAAATCATCAATGGTATCTACACCATTAATTGAATAATACTATCCTTTTCCTATAATACTGCCATTGCCCCTTCTGTTTTATATAAAGAACTTATATATGCAGAATCTGTAACTAAGCTTTCTATTCTTTTCTTTTGGTCTATTTGCCTTTATTTGCACTTATAATGCTTTACTTAAAATAACCTTATACAAGGTCTTGATATCAGAAATAACAGGTCTTCCAACTATTCTTTTTAAAGCCAGGCTTTTAAAAGTCCGTCTGAAAGTTGTTTCTTTGTTGGTTACTCTTTACTCATACAAGGCAGCCCTTTGCAGTCCTACTCCAAAATGAGGGCTGATTTTACTGGTCACCAGCCTTCACATGTATAGATAAGGGTCTAAATTCTGTCTTTCATTTCCCAACACAAGGCAGCAGCAGCAAAGAATAGCAGATCTAGCATGTAGCTCTGAATGGTAAATCCAAGACCCTGAAGACATTATAGGATGATTTGTTGAGGAACGTAAAGATAACAAAATGTTTGGCACAACTTCATAAAATTTGTTTAGGGAAATAATTCAAGGAGAAGTCTACTTTTGCTAACAACTTACCCAAACAATTTGCAATAAAGCAGGCACCAAGAAGTGAGATGAAAACAATAGCAATGACCCAAGTGAAGTGCTGGCCTCCTTCTACCAGGACAAAAAGAAAGATAAATAGGTTACCCCCTTTTCAGCCCCAAGAGCTAAGGAAACTAATTCTATCAAGGAACAAGCTAAATATGAGATCATCCAAAGATATTTTAGATGTGGAGAAGAGCTTAAAGATTTTCCCTGAATAAGTCAATTTCAGGGTTTATAAATAAATAAAGAAGTAAATAAATAAAATGTAAGCTTTTTTTAATAGGAAAGGCTTATTATAAGTAAGACACAAAATTCAAAAATTGTAAAACATTGATAATTTGGGTACATAAAAATTAAAACTTCTGCCTGGCTGGAGTGGCTCAGTTGGTAGGAACATTGTCCTGTACACTGAAAGGTTTCAGGTTTGATTCCCTGGTTAGGGTATGTACAGAAGGCAACCAGTCGATGCTTCTCTCTCACATCAATGTTTCTCTCTCTCCCCCTCCCTCTCTCTAAGCATGGTCTTCGGTGAGGATTATAAATAAAAAATTAAAATTAAAAAATAAAGCTATGATATCTTTAAAAATATAAAAACTCCTATATAACAATATTAAAACAAAAGGAATACCTGGAAAAAATTATGTCACAATATTAATATCCAGACTATATAAAGAATTTTTTAAATTAATTAGAAAACAACAAAAATTTGATGAAAATTTAATTTGTTGATATTACAAATGGCATTAAACAAATAAAAATATGCTCAATCAGAGAAATGTAAACTAAAATATCATGCTATGATTTTTTCACATATCAGAGTTTTTAAAGTAAATTAAAAATATAACATCTTAGGTAAGAAAATAAATGCTACTGGTGAACTATAAATTAGAAAGCCATTTAGACAGATTGTTAGCAACATTTATCAATTTTTAAATGCATTATATTTGCCACAACAATTTCATTTTTATTTTTAATTTCATTTTTAAATTATAGTTTATATTCAGTGTTATTTTGTAGTAGCTTCAGGTATACAACATAGTGGTTAAATAATCATATACTTTACAAGTTTCATTTTTAGAGATTTGTCCTATAGAAATAACTAAATTTATTTCTATTAAAGGATATTCATTGGAATACTTTGGAAATACAGAAAACACTGAAACCTAATACTTATATATGTATTGTCAATAGTAGATATTTTAAACTATGATGAACCCATATGATAGAATTCTATATGGCAATTAAAATAGTCATGTATACCAGTATGTATTGTCATAAGAAATCTCCAAGACCTACTGTTGCATAAAAAAAGGTTTTTTCAGGACCATCATTCATTATGGATTCACTGAAGTTTGCCATGGTGTGGTGATGAGAGAAAGTGAAACATTAATTTTAAAATAAGATATTTCTGCATATGCTCTATATATTTCTCAAAATATTATTCAATGTTCTCATAATACACATCCACTTATGTCACTTTAGTAAAACATAAAATGGGATGAAGTTAAAGCCTCAGGAACAGCCTTAGTCAGGATGTTTTCTATATCTTTTCTCACTTTCCTTTAAAAGAACCTTCCCAAATTACTCTCTTCCCTTCCATCTTGTTTTTCTTTTATACTTTATATACTTTAACTCCCCTCTTGGCCTAATTTATGTTTTACAAAGAAGTTTCTGTTTCCCAGTGTATTAGGATTTATTTATAGCCTTTTTCTTCATCAAAGTCATTCTTATTTTCTTCCATCTTCTCCTCCCCATATCATCATTTTCAATCTTCACAACTACAACTATCAATTTTATTTTTAAATCTTAGTCATAATTTTATCTGCCTCTTTAAAATTGAAAAGAGAGAAGTACTCACGTTTATTTTGAGATCCTTCTTGCCCCATTGTGTGTTAACTCTCTTGCTGTCCAGTGTTTGGGAAAAACAGATGCCTCTTATATTTTTTCCAGGGTATATTTCTGTGGATAAAATAATATCTTCAGAAACACTTGAGATTAAACATCAGTCTTACTATTCTGGTGAGACTATAAAGCTCTCAATATAAAAGACTCGACTCAAAAGAAGAAGTCTTTCTAAAGATGAGTTTCCTTTGATTCACTCTGAGAGATGGAGCAAAGAAAAAAGGAAATTGAGAAAGCAACATCCAAAAACAGTTAGTAGAAATTTCCATAAGTATCTTGAGATCAGTAATTATGTATCGTGTGGAATTATTCAATTTATTTTTATCTATCTAAACATAAAAATTAGCAGTACCATAACAGAATAATCATTATACCTAATAAAAATTGAATGCATCTGACAGACTTGGAACAGTTGCTGCTGCTGCTGCTAAGGTTCCAGCATAGGTGTAAGAAAAAGGGTGCTTGCACTTTCTGTTCTGTCTGATTGTGGCAACCAACCTTGAATGCGGGGATACCGTAGAAAAACATGGAGCTATTACAACTCGAAAATTGCCTTGTAAACAGTCAAAGAGCCTGTTTTACTCCAAAGAAGAATCTAAAATACAAGTTTACAAGTGAAAAAATATTGATGAACATGCTTTCATTTTTCTCTTTTTCTGGATTTTATATTTTCAAGGCAGTTACATGCTTGAGGTAAACTCTGCTCCAGAAAGTCTTCTGTAGTTAGTACGTTGTGGCCAAATGATAAAAGACAATGTGACCAATGATCAAAAGCTTTTAATGCACACAGTGTATATACATTGTATGTAGAGACATAAAAACCTTTGTTTTGTGTTGAGAAGCTATTGATTAATTTGGTGGTGGAGCTATTGATTAAATTCCAAAATTTTTATAGATGAGAGAAAATAGTATTGTTACTGCAAAGGAAATAAAAGTGTGACATCCTGTGATAAAGTCACCATCAGGGTCCTTGACTTCATCTACTGTCTCTCATGCACTGAATGTTTTTGTCTTTCCATCACTGTGCTACCACCCTGATCTCAGATTTCCCAACTTTCAGAACTGTGAGAAATAAATGTCTATTGTTATATAACACCTGATTGCAAAAAAAAAAGTACAGACTAAAATAGCCCAACCAGCGTGGCTCAGTGGTTGAGCACATGGAACATTCTCTAGGATAGGTTATGTTAGGCCACAAAACAAGTCATAATAAATGTAATAAGATTGTAATCATATCAAGCATCTTTTCCAATGACAATGGTATGAAACTACAAATCAATAATAAGAAAAACTGAAAATGCACAAACATGTGGAGTTTAAACAGCGTGGTACTGAAAAATCAATGGGTCAAAGATGAAATCAAAAGAGAAATCCAAAAAAATCTTAAGACAAATAAAAATGGGAATACAACCTACAAATATATGTGGGATGCAGCTAAAGCAGTTCTAAAAGGAAACTTCTTAGCTGTAAACGACTACATGATAAAAAAAAAATAGTTCTTTGAAGTAAAAACAAAATTTTTAGAAATTCAAACATGCATTTAAAAAGTGGCATATAAATCAAATCAAGCTACTAAATCCATTAAGATTTTGACCAGACAACCCTTTCAGATAATCAAACTAACTTACAGTAACCAAGCCCAGAAATGGAGATAAGCATATGGAGTGCGAGCTTCGGAGGCTTGCTAGAGTGAAGAACCTCGGATATCTGTTATTGAAAATTTATAAATTTTTGAAAAGTCTGTAGATAATTTAGAGCACCCCTTTCTATTAGGCTGTGCAATCTCTTCTACACCACAGGTTACTGGTTTTTGCCATTTTTCACTTTGATGGCCTTGGTCGAAGACTGTCCCACAGTGTCTTACAAGTGAATTTTTGCTCTGAAGTGAAAGAAACAGTTCAGCCTCAAATCTTATTGTCCAAATTTAGCAAAGAAACTGTTCCTTTGCCCTCAGAGTTTTTGGATTCATACAGATGACAGAACCTAAAAAAGGATATATAGAAAATAAACATAACGGGGAACTACCTGATGAAAAACCAGAACTAGGAAGGAGATGGAAATAAAACTAATCATTCAGTTATAAAAATTTAGTGATAATCTACTATGATGCTAGACCAGTGATGGCAAACCTATGGCACGCGTGTCAGAGGTGACACGCGAACTCATTTTTTGGGTTGATTTTTCTTTGTTAAATGGCATTTAAATATATAAAATAAATATAAAAAATATAAATCTTTGTTTTACTATGGTTGCAAATATCAAAAAATTTCTATATGTGACACGGCACCAGAGTTAAGTTAGGGCTTTCAAAATGCTGACACGCCGAGCTCAAAAGGTTCGCCATCACTGTGCTATACACTTTGTAGACTGTAGGAATATAGCAAGGAACATTGTCTTTCACTAATTCCACAATATACTTACTATTTTCCAGGGACTCTTCCACACTCGGGAAAAGGCAGTGGCTGAATAGGTAAAAGTCACCTATTCTAGCATGTCCTAGATGATGAGTAGAAGTTGTCTCCCATGTCTTCCTAATTAGATGAAAGAGAGTTTCTTTCAAATGTGACAGAGACTCGGTACTTTACAAGATTTTTGTGTCATTCTTTGTTCTAAGATAATTTTATAAAAAGTTAATGCATAAAAATGACAAACCAGTAGTCACACACTCAAAATATTTTAAAAGAGCAAACATCAAGAAAGGACCTTAATAATAGGAACAATCTCCTTGAGAGAAAAAAATAAACAACACACACACACACCTGAATTAATGCATGGGACACATAGAAAAAAAAGACATAATCTTAGACCATTCTTGGCCCAAAAAGGTCAGAATCGTGTAAAAGTTCATTGACTAAATTGAGCCTCTCTAGAATACATGGGCACTAAATCATGGATGTCATATATAATTAAGTGCTAACACTTTAACCAGGTAAACATAAAAGTGTGGCTGACAAAAGGTAGAAATCATTCTCATTTTAATAGAGATATAACAAAAAATAAATGAACAACCTCTAGCAAGGGAGATGTTTTACAGACAAGTGAGAATCACACCTTAATTGTGTTTTTCCTGTGGCTTAAAAATGTTTTTCACATATTTATTCAATTGTTCAATCATTTATTCATTCATGCTTGAATTCAACAGGTTTCACTCCAGACCCAGTGTGTCCTCAGTGTCCTAGTGCACCCTAGTGTCCCGTAGAGGAGAACACATTAAATAAAATATGAGTTATTCCCTTACGGAGCTCCATTTCCACATGATTCTTCTGGTTACTCAAGCAGGAAACTTCGAGTGAAGTATTATTAGATAACACCCAATCCACACTTCTAACTTAAACACAAGTGGGGGACAGCTCAGCAAGGTATCACTTACCTAAAGCATGGGCCAAGAGCTTTTCATTCCTTTTTGACACCACAGTCACTCTTGTGAAGATCAGGTTTTTGTTCTAGGACCAGGATTGAAGGCAGTGGTGTCCAACATGGGATGTACAAGACAACTCATCAGGGGCACAGGAAGAAAATATTTTCATGTATCCTTATATTGTATCTTTTATTGGTAATATGTTTTACATAAGATGTATAATGTTAGTATTATATATATTAGTACACATGTGTACTTTATGAATCAATAAGTACACATATGTTATGTGCTTTAAAAATAACAAAAATAAGTGAACAAATATATTATTTATAGAGTTGCAAAAGCAGCCAATAAATTAATAACCAAAGCAATATAATCAGGCCAACTCAGAAACTAAGCAAAGCTGAGTTTGTAAGAGGTTGACATTGGTCATTACAACTGCAAGAGGCTGAAGAAAAATGTGGCTGACCAGTATGCTTTGTAGACTAATTCCTAACAAGGTAATCTGACAAGTTGTATCTGATTCATTATCCAGATCCCTTGTTGGATCTGTAGTATGCCCCCTGCCCATTCTACCCTGACACCTCTTGGTAAAAAAAAAAAAAAAATTAATACAAGTAACCCAACCATACACCTTGGAGCATTATGAAAAATATACCTCTAAAGCAATAAGTTAATATGTATTGGTATGCCAGGCTCTGTTCTAAGCACTGAACACAAATTGCTTAATCTTCACAAATTGCAAATAACATATACAAGTCTTTTGAAAAGTTAAAAACTTGCCTGAGCTCCCACAGAGAATGCTAGACCTGGAATTCAGATCTAGGTAACATGGCACTCAGACCCATACTGTTGTTAACCATACGTTACAGTCCTCTGAGAAAAGGACATTTTATCAGGTAAAATGCCACTGATAAAACAAGCACTAGCTTGCAGATAGATTTAAAAACATAGGTTAACAGTAAACAAAAACACATCTAGTATATAAATCATGACTATACTACACTAAAAAAAGAATTTACGCAAGAGGCAGAGAAAGGAAAGTTGTACACCAACTCCAGTGATGATGAAAGCAGCAAGCACACAAGATGACACCGCAGCAACACACCAATGACTCAACGGGGACCCACAGCTTCCTCTTTGGTGGAGCAAGTAAATAACACAAATCTGGGGAATATGCTTTTCTGAGAGCAGATAGGCCAGAGTAACTGAGAAACTAGAAGCCAGACTACAGTCAAAGACATTCAACAGAGAACTTTTGTCAAGTACTATAGACAGCATCCATACTTCCAGGCTACTGACTGGGTTTATATATAGAAAATGGAGTGCCTCTAAAGGGCCATGAAAATATTTGGGGGAAAAAAAACACTAAATTTTTTCCAAATTAGGTAAAAACCATAAACACACATATTAAATAAGTTTAATACACTCAAAGCAGGATGAATATCAACATACACACAAATAGAAGTGTATCATACTAGTAATCAAGCTGCTTTAAAAAATAGTGAGAAAATCTTAAAAGCAACCAAAGAAAGAAAATACATTATATACAGAGGAATATAGTAAAGAAAGATGATAGACTTCTCAACAGAAATTGGCAGGTTTTATAAGGATGTACACAGATTTTTTTCATTTGACTCAGCAATTTCACTTCTAAGAATTTACTCATGATAAATGAAAACATATGCTCAAAAAACATTGCATATAAACATTCATAGCAGATTTATGCATAGTAGGTGAACTCTGGAAGCAACCAAATGTCCATAAACAGATAAATTGTGTTACATTCATACAGAGGAATACTACTCATCAATAAAAATGAACTTGTTAACAGCTGAACAACAATAGAATGTTACC